TGGTGCAAGGAATAAATGTTTAGGTACTGTATGGGGTGCCTGTCCAGTGGACTGCTTTGTCCTGGATGATGCTGAGTGTTGTTGGAACCTCATTCATCGAGGCAAGTGCAAGTCTTCCATCACGTCTTTGATTTCTGCCTTACTGAGTGTGGACAGCTTTTGTAGTGACAGGACCTGAGTTACTTGCTTCGGTTTTCTTCACCTCTAACCCACCTTTATAGCCATAGAATTAATATGGTTGGTCTGGCTGAATTTCTGATCGATTGTAACCCCTACGTTGTTAGTAGTGGAGGATTCAGTGAGGGTAATGACATTGAATGTTGAAGGGAGCTGATTGGATTCTTTCTTGTTGAAGATGCCACTTGCATTAAGCTACAAAACTTCCACACTTATCAGCCCAAGCTAAATGTTGTCCAGGTCTTTCTATATTTTGGCATGGGCAGCTTCAGTACTTGCAATCATTGCTGATCACCCCAGGTCTGATGTTAGGATGGAAGCAAGGTCATTGATGAAGCAGTTGAAGATGGTTGTGTGTAGGAGTTTCTCAGGGAAATGTCCTGGAACAGAGATGATTGACCTCCACCGATTGCAACATGTAGAGAGCGTTCCCTGATTTTGTATTGAGCAGTTTTGCTGAAGCTCATTTGCTGCTGCCTTAATGCAATGGGAGTCACCTTCATCTTCCCTCTTAAGTTCAACTCTTTTGGTCATGTTGAGACCCAAGGCATTAATTTGGTTGGAGGCCGAGTGGTCCTTGGCAGAATACAAACTGAGCATCAGCAAGTATGTTATTACTGGTTACTGCTTGATAGTAGTGTCGTTGACACTTTCCATCTCTTTTACTAAAGAGACTAGGGCCAATGGACCAGGTTGGATTTGTGAGCATTTTGGTAGTGTTGTGGTCAAACTGGAACAGATTGTGTAGGGGTGCAGCTAATGCTGTACAAGTCTTCGGTATTATTGCCATGAAGTTGTCAATGTCCATATCCTTTACAGTGTTCAGTGCTTTAGCCATTTCTTTATCCCACCAAGTGAATCAAATTAGCTGAAGCCCAGCATCTGTGATCTGGGGCCCTTGAGAGAAGGCTAAGATGGATCATCCACTCAGCACATGAAGATGGCTAAAACATATTTGATTTAAAAATAGAATGTTTCATTGCACAGTCTCAAGATCAGTAGGTTAGGGAACCTAGTAAACTTGGCTCTAATCCGATATGCAAAAATGGTTGAATTGTTGGCTGAAACTTTTAACAGAAGGAAGTAGATTGGAAACTCGATGCCACTGAAATTTGTAATGTTTGAAACCTCTGTGCAACACCACAATTATTCCCAGATGTTTTAGTTGAAACTGACAATTATTTAGCTCTTATAGTTACATGTTCATTTTATAGTCCAGTTTTTATCCGGTACCTTGTAAGTTTCAAAGCTTTCATAACTTAGTATGCAGGAATAAAATATTCTATTGAGTTGTCAGCTGTGTGATATAAACTAGATTTGCTGTTTCACTGTCCAGAATTTCCAAACACATTAATGCAGTGGCATAAATTTTGACCTTTAGGAACCCTGTGGCTGACCCCACCAACTGTTATGGAAGGGTTAATGGGGATAATAGCACTCTATTTTTTTAAAAATGTTTTTGCTAACTGATGTGAACTTAAAGATGATAATGCTTCGATTCAGCTGTACCGCTGGAACTGATATGTTTTTGTTTCAGAAACTTTAAGGCCTTCCTTCCTTCAAGACTCTAGCCTAATCTCAATATTATAACAATTCAGTCCTGCCCTTGGGTTGAAATAAAAATAATTTAACTCTGTTCCATTTTCACCAAATTCCAGTGGGACTGGTAAGCCTGCATTCTTACCTTTTTTTTTTTCTCTGTGACTTTTTTTATTTCCACAATCCCTATCCATCTCTGCATGTGTCAGCTCAGGCTGTGATGCAGGATCTGTACGAGAGGTGCTACTCCAGCGCTTTGCCTCTGCCAGTCAAAGTTGAATACAGACACATGTTTTAGGAAAACCTCATTACTTTCTAATTAATAGTCAAGTCAGTTTGCTAATGACAGAGGAAACAATTTCTGGGGTGGACAGAGATGCTTGGTATCAGCTTAACAAGGTGTAGAGCTGGATGAACACAGCAGGCCAGGCAACATCAGAGGAGCAGGAAAGTTGACGTTTCGGGTCTGGACCCTTCTTCAGAAATGGGGGAGGGGAGAAGGAGGCTTCCCTCATTGCCTCCCCCTCCTCTCTATTTATTTCAATGAGGGGGCTTCCCTCATTG